AATTTTACCTAATTCATATATATTTGTTGGAAAAATCGGTGATTCACTGTAATATTTAATTGTTGTTAATTTTGTTAATTTAGATTGAGATGAAAGTGAAATCCTTCGTATACTTGGCATTCTGAAAATAGTATAATAATAATTATACAAAAACAATGTAATTTGTACTAAACAATGCAATGTACTAAAATTATTAAAATTATCAAACTTACTTATTTAAATTATTAATTGCTGAAAGAGGGAGAGGAGTATGTAAAATATAAATTTTATTTTGATTTAAATCATCACAACTTTTTATGGGTGATTTTTCGCCAATATATTGTTTATAAACACAAGAAAATAACATTCTTAAATCATCACTTGAACATTCTAAATTATCTTGTATTAATAACATAAATTCCAAGCATATGTGAATTTGTACTAAATATAGTAGTTTTTTCCTAAAAAACATATATGTATATATTTACATATATTACAATACACAGGCATGCATGCATATATATCACAGATCAAATATAATATAATAAATAATTTTTTTACATATACCTATAAGTATCAACTGTAAATTCATCACATAAAATATTTTTTAATTTTTGTTGAATATCATGCAATTCATCAAATCTTGAATTTACTAAAATGTATATGTAATCTTTGTATAATTTTTCAAAACCCATATCTATGAGATATTCTAATGGTAAACTACCAGATAAGAAATGTGAAATTATTTTTTGTTGTTGTGGATTGTTAATTATCTTAGAAAATTTTGTTGAATTTGTAAAATTGACCTAATATTTATCAATTACATAATTAATTAGATTTAATATAAAGTAAGTTTAATTTTTTTTAATTTATATATTATACCTGTGGCAAACAATCATTTATTATAATTTCTTCAAGTACTGTATGAATGCATTTTATGATTTCAAAATAATTTGAATTCTCTGCAAATATGAATATTGTTTTATATAAAGATATGAATATATTTATTAATTAATATATACTTACTTATTAATAATTCCCATAAAAAATCTGTAAAATCTAAATTATGTCTTAATGGCAAATTTTCTACACATTGATATATTCTTATTTCATTTTCTAAATTTTCTTCATTTAAAAAATTAATTTTGTGTGTTTTAATATTATCAAAATTTCTAAAACTATAATCTCCATTTAACAAAAGATTTAAATTGTTTAATATTACATCATGTTCCTATTTATAATATAAAAAGTGATGAAAATAATATTACTAAAACTTTAAAATGATACAAATACTTTAAATATAATAATCTTTATATACTTCATTATATGGATTTACAAAGTTCTGTGGAAATTTCAAAGGAATTGAATTGTAATGAGAATTTATGTTCTTTGTATAATCTTCTAGTATACTCAAGTATTGATTTAACAATAATAATTGTTTCCATAATTCTTTTAAGGGACTATTATTTGAATTTGTAAGAACTTGCACAATCTAAAACAGAAATAGAAAAAAATAATTAGAAAAAAATATATTTAATTCATTATAATTAATCTTACCAAATTATTTTTAGATGCTCTTGTAAGTGGATATAATGATAAACTACAAGTATCTACTTCTATACTTAGGCTTCCTTCAAAATTACTTTTTATATTATAATCCTTATTAATTATTTTTTCTTTTGTTCCAAATAAATCAAAAGTATTAAATGCAGAGATACTAATCTATATATAAATAAATAAAATATATTATAAATATAAACATAAATATAAATTTTAAAAAAAAACTGACATCTTGTTCACATGCATGTGAAAATTCCAAATGTTGTTGGAAAATTTTAGAGGAAGATTCTTTTAAAAATTCAAAAGTTTCAATCTCAGCTGAGCAAACTTCTATTGTAGTAAACCATTCTTCTTCAATCATTGTACCTAATAATCTACTTTTTTTATTATCCTTACCATCACAAAGAGCAAATATTAGAAAGAAAGAATCATTTATAGATTCAATACATGCATTCAATGCAGTACTAAAATAAAATCATATTATAAAAATAATTAATAAATAATATATAAAAATAATTTATATTATAAGATAAATATAATATATAAATAAAATTATTATACTACTATAAATTATATTATACTACTATAAACTATAAATGAA